CTCCAGTCTACCTCACCCATGCATGAGTGGAGAAAGTAACCAACATCAAGACCGGCTATCTTGCACGATTGTCCATTCATTTGAAAAAAACAAACTTTTTTTTTTTTTTTCATTGAAATTGTATTTGTATCAGGGAGCTTCCCAAGGGCTTCACTTTCAAAATGAGTGATGTAAGGACCATGAGGATGGAGGGATGGAAAAGGCTTTTTAGTGCCAGAGGAGAGAGGAGCGAGGTAGCCCCTGACAACCGATCCTCCTTCTCCTTCTCCAGGAGGGCTCCCAATTTCATGTAATGTTATTGTTTTCTGTGATGATTCATAAAATGTATAACTACAAATGACCTAAATTTAAGGTGTGACTTTGTACAGCTTAAAAACATAAAGTTTGTGGCTCACGCCTATAATCCCAGCACTTTGAGAGGCCTAGGCTGGCAGATCACCTGAGGTCAGGAGTTCGAGACCAGCCTGGCTAACACGATGAAACCCTGTTTCTACTAACAAATACAAAAAATTAGCCAGGCGTGCTGGTGCGTGCCTGTAATCTCGGCTACTCAGGAGGCTAATGCAGGAGAATTGCTTGAACCTGGGAGGCAGAGTTGCAGTGAGTCGAGATTGGGCCGTTGCACTCCAGCCTGGGCAACAAGAGAGAAACTCCATCTAAAAATGTAAAAAAAATAACAAACCACAACAACGTCAACAACAAAATAAACTTTTATCCGTAGCACCCTTTCCTTTTTTCTGTCACCTAGATTTCTGTGGGTATGAACTGCCAAAACAATTGTTATGCTTTTAATAGGATTAAGAACAATAGACAATGGTCCAATGTCATAGTTTTAAATTGTTTTTCTCCAGTTGTTTTTGTCCTATTGTTTAAAAGTCTTCATCTAAATTTCATAGCAAGTATAAAGATCAGTTGTTTGGTCACGCCACTGCTTTTATTACTTGGTGAAACCAAATGATGTCCTCTGGATTTCACAGCAGAATTTGTAAGACAATAACGAGGCCCCAGTGGTTCAGTGAGTCCCCATTAGTGTTCTCACCAGGCCCTGCTGTTTCCCCTGGAGACAACTCTGAGCTTTGAAGGGCATCGGATCTTTCAAGTCATTGTCGCTAATGGAAATGGGAAATTTATTTACTTGTAAATTGCACTTAAAAAAATTTCATTCCTCAATGGACATCTTCAGTTGCCCCAGTTAGCCATATATTTTCAACATACAGTCTCATTTACGATCAAAATTAAGCTCTTCAACACTATGCAAGTGTTTATGTGCACCTTTTCACACTGAAAGGAAAAGGGGAAACGGACACTTGTATACTGTGTAGTTTTAAAAAGAAAATTGTTTTAAAAAGAAAAACAAACAAGACTCATTCTGATGATCAAGGCTTATTTTTATCTTTAGCATTTCAATTGCTATGCAACTGCCTGTTGATCAAACAGTTCCTTTTTTGAGATGGAGTCTCTCTCTGTCACTCAGGCTGGGATACAGTGACGTGATCTCAGCTCACTGCAACCTCCACCTCCTGGGTTCAGGAAATTCTCCTGCCTCAGCCTCCTGAGTAGCTGGCACTGCAGGTACACACCACCATTCCCATCTGATTTTTATATTTTTAAATGAGATGTGGTTGCACCATGTTGACCAGGCTGATCTCGAACTCCTGACCTCAAGTGATCTGCCCTCCTCAGCCTCCCAAAGTGATGGGATTACAGGCGTGAGCCACCACATCCAGCACCAATCAAACAGTTTTGATTCAGACATTAATTTCAAACTGATTCAGGAGTTTAAATCCAATTATCAGATTAAAGACTTTCTCTAGGCAAAAGTGTCCAAAGTTTGTAATCAGCACCCATGGTTCCGTTTTCCTCTGTCTTCGTCCCTTTTCCTTTCCCTCTCTAATTCAGTGTGTTTCCTGGCTGGTCTCTATAATGACAACCTGTGACTTAGCACCTGATGATAACTGCAACAAGCTCAAGGTTCTCATGCGGTAGACTTGTCAGAGTCCAAGAGCTAAGGCATGATAGAGCCTGCAGCAGAACCCAGAGCTCCTGACTCACACCAGAACTCATTCCTCCACATCTTACATGTTCTGCAACAGATCACTTCTCCAGCAATGCTCAGTGCTGTCTAATCTGCAGTGTAGATCTTCTTTAGCAAACAAACAAAAACATTGTTCTCAAAGCCATGTTGGAAATTTAACCTAAGGAACCTTAATGGCCTCAGTCACTAAATATGTTACATCTCTCTGCGAGAGTTCTTTGAATTTCAGCCAGAGACTTCTGGGATCTATTACCTCAACACACACACACACACACACACACACACACACACATACAAATGAGGATGGTAGAATTTTATACATGTTGATAGGTTTGTTAGAAAAACTATTTTTTGTGCAGGTCAGTGGATGGTGGGTGTCTGCTTAATTTTCAACATTACACGACATAAGTCATTCTCTATTCACAATGCTGGAGTAGAAGTAAAACAAAAACATACTCAGAAACCTACACTTCTAAAATACTGCAAGATGGTTTACAGTTAACCACAGAAAAAAATTAGAAGTCTGAGTCCCTTATACAAGGGTTTTGATCTTTGCCTTAACCCTTTAATTTATAAAACGTTTAGACGTTGTATTCATTCTGGAACAGTTGATGATTACACTAAACCTCACAAATTTCCAAGTCTCCTATTTCCAAGTCTCACAGGTGGCATTTTATGTATTTACTTTTTAGTCCACATGATTCAAAACTATAAATAAGTGAAACGATGGAAAACTGACACACGTCAAAATTATGCTCTATTTTGGGCAGTATCTTAGTTGGAAAATACTGTGTAAATCTACGCAGTAGGAACCGGTTAGTAGTTGGTGCACACAGCATCGGTTAGCCATTGTTCTAAATGCTTTATGTGTATTAGGTTAACTGTATATTGTAGATATTAGTCTCTGTAATTCACATATACGGAAATTAGGGCTTAGAGGTAGCACAACTTGCCCAAGGCTACAGAGCTAGTAAATTGAGGAAGTGAGGTTAGGCCAAGGTCAATGTCACATTAAAGCCCTTGTTTGCAACTCCTATAATATTCCCTATACAAGTACATTTGGGTATTAATTTTTACTTTGAACTAAACAACTTGAAAGAATAATGAAACTGTGACCTCTTATAGCTATGTGTCACATCTAAATTATGTTCCAGCATGGAAAGGCCCAGCTCCTGGGGTGTTCGTACCCCCACCCTTGCCCCCCACAAGATACTGGTGAGGAAATGTTCCCTATGACCCTCGGCATTCCCGAGAAAACTTCGTTGACAGCACCTTTTCCTCCTCCTAGAAAGCAGACACTGGAGATGTTTAGGTAGAACTTGGATACAGGCATTGTGGATATTGTAAGGGAAAAATTATATGTAAGGTAGAGTTGCATAGATTTATCTTTTATAGCTTGAAATTCTATGGCCCTAAATAATGAGATAAAGAATGAAATATAGAGGAAATGCTTAATGAGCTGGATTTGTGATTTATCTTAATTAAATAGTAAATGAAGCCATTATCCTACCATTTCATCATCTATTCAAAGTGAGAGGCATTGATGACTTTGCTAAACTTTTCAGCTTTTTGAGGCTTGGAACTCACTATAAATGAAATGATACACTCATTAAAAATATTCACTCTGTTTGCCATATGATAAAAATAGAAATGCTATGTCTATTTTGGGGGCACTTTCTATTTTAAAATCCAAATCCTATATTTTCCATATGTCTCAACATGGCTACTCTTCTCAGGGATTTGGACATCTCAAATGCTTCATGGTGAAGGATTATGCAACACCTATCTCCCCAAGGCAGGAGGTCTGCAGACTTATGTGAAGGGCAGCTTTGGTGGCTTTTGAAAGCTGTATATGGACACAAAGAAATCCGTATCCAGGAGCTCTTATATCCCTTTCTCATTCTCAAATCTTGCACATCCTCAAGAGACACTGTCAAGGTCAAAGCATAATGTGCTAGCCAGGGGGAAACCCCAGAGAAAGCCAAGATCTGAAAATAACAGCTGGTATGTAGAAAACGGCAGACCTGCTGACTTGGCACACTCAGGATAGTGTGGTGCTCTTTGGAAGGCAATAAAGTCCTTGGAGGAAGGACTTGGAGGAAAACAAAAGGGCAAGGAATGCAAAGGTGGAAGGAATAAGATAACTGCAAAATGAGACATAGCAGAAAGCAAAGAGAGAGAATAGGCGGATATTGAAGGGAGTAAAGAAGCAAATAATTATTCAGTTAATCAGAAGAGAAGTAAAATTTTTGGATATGCTTTTGACATTCAAATTTTGAGGAATACATTTCAAAATCTTCTGGAATTTGTCAAAAGCATTTACTAAAAATACCTTTGTCTAGCCTTTCTGTGAAAATGAAATACAGACATATTTCCTGAAATGCTTCAGAATAGCATAACGCAGGTGTATATTTGACTAGAAGCCAGAAATGTAAGGCTATTCTGAGTTCTCTGGCCAAACAGTATAATGAAAGCGCATCATGTTGCTTCATATTTGGCCTGTTAAGTACAATACAAACTTATTGTATTAGAAAGCCCAGCTGGGTTTCTCTTATCTTAAAATATTTGGGTTTATATTGATGAAACAGTCATGCAACTCTCTCACTCTCTTGGTCTTGTTTCTACATTTTTGATATTTAAATGTAAAAGAAAAAAATGGAAACCGTAATAAATGAATTTATTATGAAATCATTGACCTTTAGATGACTATGGAGTCTTAGATCCAATATTTCTTACTGACGATAAGGTAACTTCTTCCCCTTTGGTTTAAATACATGACTACTTTAGAGATACTTTCTAGTTACTATAAGTACCTTTCTGTATGGTTCAAGAGAGCTTACATAGAGAAGCTAATCACCCGAAGCTATCCTTTGTCAGATACCCTGTATATGTAACATATTTCATTTTACAAAAATGTCTGAAGGCATATTAATGGTTACTTTCTTTTTTTCCTTTTTAATTATAGCAGAAAATGGCCCCCGTCTACTTGTGGAAGCCGAGCAAGCCAAGGTGTTCTCACACAGAGGTGGCAATGTTACACTGCCTTGTAAATTTTATCGAGACCCTACAGCATTTGGCTCAGGAATCCATAAAATCCGAATTAAGTGGACCAAGCTCACTTCAGATTACCTCAAGGAAGTGGATGTTTTCGTTTCCATGGGATACCACAAAAAAACCTATGGAGGCTACCAGGGTAGAGTGTTTCTGAAAGGAGGCAGCGATAACGATGCTTCCCTGGTTATCACAGACCTCACTCTGGAAGATTATGGGAGATACAAGTGTGAGGTGATTGAAGGATTAGAAGACGGTACTGCTGTGGTAGCATTGGACTTACAAGGTAGGTATCTGTAAGTCATGTTCAATGGAGAAATGATCACTAGTAGTTGCTTTTTGTCATGAAGAGCAATGTCTAGTAGTTACCACAGTAATAAAGTGAAAAACTCAAAAGTCCATGCCTAGCATATTTTTCTATTCTTTTGTATTCTACAGTCTGCCTATGATTCCAGCTTTCATGTTCGAAATGTACACACAATGCTTATGTGCAAAATTGAAGCTATTTGTAACTAGGAGAAACGTGCGGTGGAACTGAATTACAGTTTTCAGAAACTGCCTTATGCCAGTCAAAATTTAAATTCCATTATATGGTTATTGAGAAAATCAGCTTGCATATTTTTTTAATTATGTTTCTAAAATTATCTCAGTTTCAAAATAATGGCATGTTTTGTAAAGGACATCTGCTAACTAAAATGTATGTATTGTATTCTGTAAAATTACTGCAAAACCTTAATTCAACAAGAAAGTAATTTCTAGATTTCTTTAAACATTCTTCTAAAGAAGTGATTTTGTAATGGTTAAAAGCCTCTTAGTCATTGAATACCAAATGGTCAAGGCATTTTGTGGAAGAATTCTGTTTCTTAAATATGTAAGCCATTCAATAGGTTCAAAAACCAAAGTGTACAAAGCTGTACCACAAAAAGTATCCTTGCCATTCTTGCCTCTCCTCTGCCCACTGTCTACCCTCTAGAGACATTCCTCTCCTTAGTTTCTTGTGTATCACAAGACATCTTATTTTTCATAAATTTCAGCATTACTTTACACTGAAGTGTGGATTTTGGCAGCATTGACAGAATGCCTTCCTTCCTTATCCACATAAAACTCTAAGTGAATGCTTGCTAGAAGCTCCTTTTACCCCCAAGGACAGATTTGTGGCTTTTGGAAAAATATTTGTTTGATTCGCTAGTATATCACTGACTATTTGACCTTTCAAATCCCATACAATCCTATCACATATATGGAGATTTATTTGCTTTATATAGCTAATAAACTGCACAGCATTGTAAAGTATATTTTTGTGACCTTTCCTTGTCTCTCATAGATAGTTCTTGGCCCCTGAGTACATGCCAACTTGTGCTTTAAGTTTTTACTGACTCACATTAATATCCATGAACGTTGGCATCATTCGGGATGGAAGGAGTTGACTTAGAGAAGACAGTCTGTCATCAAATGTTAATTGAGACCATTTATCAAAGGGGCATTGAAGGTTGCCCCTTTGAGAGAGCCTTGAGCTGGTAGTAGTAAGAGGCTTAGGTTCACCTCAACTCTGCCAGTATCAGTTTTGTGACTGGGGCAGGTCACTTATCCTCAAACGAGTTTGAATTCTATTTTCTGCTACTACTTTTTCTTCTAAAACCCTATGTTTATATATTACAATATTTCCTAAACTTAAGTAATTTGCATGCAATATTTAAAGTCTATGTTTATTTTACAAAATGAAACTCTAAATAAAAAGAAACCAGTATAACTTACGAGAAATAGAAGGAAATCATCAAAATAAACATAATAAACATAAGGTATTCTAAATTCTAGCTGGATGCCACTGCTTGATGGTGGCTTCAAACATGAAGCCTGCTCTCATTGTTTAAAAGGAGTTTCAGCATATATCAGAGCTTAATACATTACAGGGTCAAATCAAGGCTCCTCTAAGACACAATTAGAGATGCTGAAAGGAGACTAAGAAAATAATTTTATTTCTCCTAGGCTCTTCACCATTGCAAATGTTCAGATTCTCCATGCTTAGGGAACATTCCCCGCCATATAACATATATGCATATGAGCTAAGTAAATGTGATCCCAGAAACCAGTTTAATTGATACATATTTTTACAGATGCTGTTTTGGTGCCATGAGAGAGAAAGAATTCCAATCTTTGCTCTTTTCATTCAACAATCGTATAGTCCATTAAAGATTCTAAAATAATTTAATGAAATAAGGCAGAAGTCAGTAAAATAAATGGGCACAAATTTCTATAATCATATGTTCTATTCATTTTGTTCATGTTAAGTAAACCTTCTTTACAGATGAAGCTTAAGACACACCTTTTCTAAGATAACAGGCCTAGCTCTAGTAAGAGATCTGGAATTTGATACCAAAGGCATTGGATGAAGCCTATGCTCTAGTTCACTTGAGCATTTGCAAGAAGGGGAAAGTTTCTGTTGGTAGAAGAGAGGCTTTAAAAAGGCAGGAGCATTCAGCAGCTTCAGGCTTCAGAAAATTCTGAAAGGCCCAAAGTTATTGGAGCGATAAGCTAGGACCTCTCCTGTGTTGATGGTAGCTGTTAAATCTCCCTCCTCCATGGTGTTCTCATAGTGCCTTATGTAGACTTCCATTATAGTTCTAATCACTTACTGTTTTGTAAATATTTGTAAACTTCTTTGTCTGTTAAATATGATCTACTTGAGGACATTCAAGTGCCAAGAACAAAATTCATGCTCAGTAAATAGTTTACAAGTAAAAGAACGTTTGATGCAAAGTGTTTAAACTTTCAAATACAAAAAAATGTGCATGTCATGTGGGAGTCATGGAAATTATTCTTAAGAAAGAGACACTTGGCTGGGTGTGGTGGCTCACGCCTGTAATCCCAGCACTTTGGGAAGCCGAGGCGAGTAAATCACTTGGGGTCAGGAGTTCGTGACCAGCCTGGCCAACATGGTAAAACCCCGTCTCTACTAATAATACAAAAATATTAGCCTGGCATGGTGGTGAGCACCTTTAATCCCTACTCGGGAGGCTGAGGCAGGAGAATCGCTTGAATCCAGGAGGCTGAGGTTGCAGTGAGCCAAGATCTCGCCATTGCACTCCAGCCTGGGTGACAGATGGAGATTCCGTCTCAAAAAAAAAACAAAAAAGGAAAGAAAGAGATGCTTGATTTAGACCATGAAGGTAAGCCTTTCAAAGGATAAAGAGCATGAAAAAGCAGGAGAGAGGGCATCACAGATAAGGCAGAGACATTTCTCAAAGCAAAAATGTGAACAACAGATACCACCGACAGCATTCCAGCTTGCATTCAGTCTCAGATTGGTGACAGGGTGGGATAAAAAATTTTAATTTTTCATCGTCGCTAATTTCAAACATTTGGAAAAGTCAAAGGAATGCTGTAATGAATCCATATATCATCATCCAGCTTCAAAAAGTATCATGATACAGCCAAACTTATTTTATTTTGCCTTTTTACTCCCACTACCACTGAATAATTTTCAAAAAAGACTTAGATGGGATATTACTTTATCTAAATATACTTCAGAGTAAGATGAGGATTCATATTTCAAAGTAAAATTACAACAAATTAAGATAGTCATCAGAATAAAATAAAAGTCATAAAAATAGAAAACTTGCCATAAGCTAAGGACAATCTCCACGTATTCTGGGATAGACAATAAGATGCAGCAGATTATATGCATGAGAGTTTGAAATCTGTGGTGAACCACAGATTTCAGAACCAAAAGACCTATCTTCTGGTTATCATTTATTAGCTCTTGTTCCCTCTTTTGATCTTTTTCATTATCAATTACATTCTTACATGTGACTACCAATCAGGCAACTGTCACTCAAGCTCCCTGTCAATCTTCTAACATGCACAGAAAGGCCAGGGAAGCATCTCATCTTACATGCCTTGATTGAGCTGCTTTTCCAACTGTAATTGCACATTATCTTTAATTGTGTTGGTCCTTTAATACCAGGTTAAATGCTATTTACACTAAAGAATGTTACCAATTAGAAAAAAAATATTCTTCGTGATGCTTAAATTGTATAGCTCCTATTTGTATTACAAGCTTTTATTCTGTCTTAGAATCAAACCATATATATATCCAAACTAGATATATTTATTCTGTCTTGGATTCTGTCAAATATAGGAAGAGGCCACACCCATACCTATGTCCTAGTATACCAAGCACAGTGCCTTGCTCTTAGTTGTTGCTTAAGAACTGTTTGTATAATCACACTAACAAAAAAAAAAAAAAAAAAATTGTAAATCCTTAACAAAGACCTACCTCCATGTGAGTTGGAATTAGATGTGGAAACACAGTATTTTCATACAGAATCTTGCATAGGGCAGAACCCTCTGATTGCCACCAATTACCTACCTAGAAATAGCACCCAACAAGCAACAAGATTTATACAGATATAACAAAAGAATGTCACTAGAAATTTAGGGACAAGCTGAGGCTGCAGAATCAGAAATCAACTGGGCTCAGCAATCAATAAATACACAATTAATGATATGCAAAACATGACATTTATGCTTCTAAACTTCCACTGTATTCATCTTCCATTGTTGAAAATGGGGCTAAATATACAAAATTATAGTCTGAGAACTGTCAGAAATAGAAACATAATTTCAGATTCGTGCATAGCACTGATAAGCACTGTGACAGGCACTAAGGGAGGTCATATTATTTATGCTACATGGTCTCTGCCTTTTATTATTAGAAACATTTACATTATGTAATTATTAAAACTTCCTTTAACTTTTGTATGTCCCAGGATGTGGAAACCTTTCATATGTCTAACATACTGATATTTGCCAACAACTAGAATGAATTGGGCTGGGTAATTATAAATCTTGAATAATGTGTTCTCCAAATTTATTTCAACTAACTAAACTCACATTGTTTGGTATTATTCTTTCCTATATAATGTATCATCCTTACTAATCTCCTTTGTAATGAGATTACAGCCCTCCACAGAAAGTTACGAGCTTTTGATTATCTTTTGATATATAAGTATGAAGCATACATCAGTCAGATATTCCTTGGATTAATCATACCACCTTCTTTCTCACCCATAAATGTTTAACTTTTCTTATTTTTGCAACACTGGATAATAGGAACCATTTGCTCCATAATTTAGCTGTAAGAATTACACATTTTTTCTGAAGAGCCAAGAAGGTTTCTGCAATTGGATGTTAAAATCTTAACTAGCCAGAAGTATACTAAGTCAATAAATAAAACAAATAAAATACTAATAGAATGATTATGTAGTTCCAAAAATGGCCCTGCCATTGTTCACATACACATTGTTGAAATGTGTATGTGAAATTTATAGAATACAGGGAAGGTTTTAAAACTTCGAGTAAGGCCGGGCGCAGTGGCTCAAGCCTGTAATCCCAGCACTTTGGGAGGCCGAGGCAGGTGGATCACGAGGTCAAGAGATCGAGACCATCCTGATCAACATGGTGAAACCCCGTCTCTATTAAAAATACAAAAAAAATAGCTGGGCATGGTGGCGTGTGCCTGTAATCCCAGCTACTCAGGAGGCTGAGGCAGGAGAATTGCCTGAACTCAGGAGGCGGAGGTTGCAGTGAGCCGAGATGGCGCCATTGCACTCCAGCCTGGGCAACGAGAGCGAAACTCCGTCTCAAAAAAAAAAAAAAAAAAAAAAAAAAAAAAAAAAAAAAGCTTCGAGTAAAGCATAGAGCTTTACCTTGATTTACTTGGGATATGTTCTTTCCAGCATATCAAACAGTAATTCAAATTTGTTAAATAAATCATTTGAGCTGATACAACAGTTAGTTGTATTTTTCTTACAACTGAAAATACCAAAATTTTAACATAAGCTTCACTTTCTAAAAATGATTGTATGAAATTATGTTACATTTAAAAACAACTCAAATAAAAATATACAGCACTGGATTTGGAACTAAATCAATTATATTTAAGTAACGTTTAGTGGTTAATCAAAAACAAATTACTAGAGAAAAGTCTTTCCTGATGCTTATAAGAATCCACCAAAAACACACTACAGTGAATTTAAACCTAAAAGGTTTTCTAGCTCTTTAAAATTAGCATAAATTAAAATATTCTGCATTCTCCATTGTTACCGTCTTCAGCCATTTTGGAAATGGAAGTCAACTCCACTGGTTTCTTTCTCTTTTCAGGTTGAGATACTTTGAGATTTCTGTCACTTAAGATCTAGCAAAAAAGGGAATCTCTAATGAATAAATTGAAGATTTCCCTTTTCATCAGCACTCCCAGGGTGGCTGAGGAAAGAGGATAAAAGACCTGAGGCACCAGAGCACCATAATGGATTTTTCCCAGCACTCACTGGGTTCCCAGCTCAGTGCCTGGGCAGAGTCCTCCTTAGATAGAATCATCTCCAGGCCTTCCCTCCCACTCGCCACAGGAGTTAGTGGCAACCAAGAGAGGCTTTTACTCCTTCCTTTTGGCTCTAATTCAGCTTATAGATCCTTCAGCCAAGAACCTGAGAAGGCAGAATGAGATCAGGAAGCCTTCTTGGAGCTCTGCCTTTCATGGATGGTGCCAGCTGGATCGCCCTACAGGGACAAACGTGTCCTACGGAGGCCTTCAGTGGACGTGACTTGATTTAAGGCCACTGAAATGTCTTCTTGTACAGTCTTTTAGGACAATTTATTAAAGAAATATTTCCTGTGTACCGGTTATGTTATTAGTGGTTTGTATATCATCTTGAATAGCGTCTGCAGTCTCATAAAATAGCACATGTGCCATAACTCACCAAATTACTGTGTCAGTGGGACAAATGTTTGCATTCCACGTGCTAAAATACTAATTACTTCTAATTACATTCAAAAATTTGAGGCAAGCCCTTGCATAATGATTCTAAATTAGTTATCTTTTAATAACCATGAGAGAAATATTTTGACACAGTAGTCCTTTTCAAAGTCCAGCAAGTGACGCAACTTTTCTTTCTTATTTGGTAATCCTTAGCCTTTAAAGAAAATTGTGCAGAGTGTTGTGAGGCAGCTCGGTCACCTCCCATAATTATTTGAACAAAAGAAATGTTTTGGAAAACCATAACATCTTCCCAGGCAAAACAAATGCTGAGTCACACTGTTAACATTTGCTATGGAACTTCCGTCCTCAAAATATTTAACTTAATTATTTGGCATTGGTCAATCAATGGATGTCTATTCTGTACCTACCTTTTATAGGACAAGCTTAGGGAAGCTTTTTTTCTGTTTATAATAAAAATGTTTCAAACCCCTTACTTTCAGTTTGCAATATATAAATGTGGAAGTTGAAAAATAGTAATGGAAATATTTTTAAATAAAAGCCCTTATTTTAGTCTTGCTATTTAAGGGCAGAAAAAAAAAAAAAAGAAGAAGAAAAGCCACATTAAAAGTAAACATATAAGAGTACCATGGTACTTTCTACAGAGGAGTGTCTCACTGTACAAATCTGTCTTATTAATCTGAAATAAAATTGTTTAATTATGTTCTTGTTAGATATACAAAAGAATTCACTTTAGTAGGGGTATCCAACCTTTTGGCTCTCCCGGGCCACATTAGAGGAAGAAGAACTGTCTTAGGCCACACATAAAATATACTAACACTAATGATAACTGATAAGCTACAAAAATAAAAAGTAAAAAAAGGAAATCACAAAAATATCCATGTTGTTTTAAGAGAGTTTACAAATTTGTGTTGGGTTGCATTCAACGCTGTCCTGGGCCACATGTGGCTGGCAGGCCACGGGTTGGACAAGCTTGCTTTAAGAGTTTCGCCAAATAAGAATCCCCCTATATGAAGGTTACTTATCTGCAAGTTATTAGAAGACCGTATTAAAAGACTGATATATCTGCATTTGAATCATTTGTTAATATGCTTCCCTATACATTTAAAAGACTACATAAAACTAAATACTAATTATACAGGAAAAATTGCTAAGAAAAACAGTGTGAATTTTGATAAATACCTTCTCTTTGAGCACTGCAGCCCTCTGCTCTTAGTATTCAACATTGAGTATTTCCGTATCTGCCACCAACTCCTAGTATTCAATACTGACTTTTTCCCTAGGTGACAGGGGCTCAGTAGTAACCCACTGTAGGGCAAGTAAGTGGCAGCAGACGGTATGTTCTCAGGGAGGACTATTTGGAAACTGTAATCTGCGGACAGATCTCTTCAGAAAAGAGAATTTTAAGGCTAGAGTTGAACTCTTCACAAAAGCAATAAATCACTGAAATTATCCAGCAAAAAAGCTGATCATGAGATGTTCAGAACTAAGAGGATGCTTAAAGGGGAAAAGGATCATGAGAAACAGTTGCTAGTTGACAAAAAACTTTTGCTTCATCTGATGGAGGCTCTATTATGGTTTTCACCAGCTAGGTGGGATTTGCTTAGAGTTGTTAGTTTTGGGGCTTCTAATGACTCCTGGCCTTCTCCTTTGGACAGGTGTGGTATTCCCTTACTTTCCACGACTGGGGCGCTACAATCTCAATTTCCACGAGGCGCAGCAGGTGTGTCTGGACCAGGATGCTGTGATCGCATCCTTTGACCAGCTGTATGATGCCTGGCGGGGCGGGCTGGACTGGTGCAATGCCGGCTGGCTCAGTGATGGCTCTGTGCAATATCCCATCACAAAGCCCAGAGAGCCCTGTGGGGGCCAGAACACAGTGCCCGGAGTCAGGAACTACGGATTTTGGGATAAAGATAAAAGCAGATATGATGTTTTCTGTTTTACATCCAATTTCAATGGTAAGATAATAACCGTATTACCTTCTTTACTGTCTCGGAGACCATTCCATACTATACCACTAACTACACTTGGCTTTTAATCTTATCTTCTTAGAAAAACAAAAAAAGCTTTGAAGTTTTACTCTAGTTTAAAAAGATACAAAAAGTTCATGAGTGTCATTATTTTTAAATATCCACGTAAATCAAGCAAAAGTGCATATTCCCAGTACTCCTAGGTTTTATTTCATCCCATTTTTATATGAAATAGTTGAAACTGTCATGTGGCTTGAGGTCTGTTCCCTACTGTCAAAGATGATGCTGCCAGTGTGTGCCCTCCATAGTATATGGTTCTTTCAATCAAAGTAAGCATGCCTTTGTTATTACCCATGCTCTCCCTCTCTCAATCTCGGGTGCATTTATTCATAGATGATCAACAAAACTCAGGACAAAGTGGGGCGTAAGCAAGAAAAAGGAAATAGAACTAACTCTCCAGGTGAAAGCAGAAAGAAAGGTTGCATCGGTGTTGATGACTGATTCATTATATTCATGCACCTCTCAGCCCTTCTCTTGCTGCCTTCAGAGTCAGCCACATAATTTGTGGGGCCCAGTGTGAAATGAAAATGTGGGTTGTGTGCAGTGGCTCATGCCTGTAATCCCAGCACTGTGGGAGGCCAAGGCAGGAGGATTGCTTGAGCCAAGAGTTGGATAACAGACATGGCAACATAGTGAGAATCCCTCTCTAAAAGAAAAAAAGAAGAAGGAAAGAAAATGTGGAGCTCCTTGTTCAAAAATGTTAAAATTTTAAGATGGTGACAGCAGAGCATTGAACTAAATGCAGAACCTTTCTACATGTAGACATGTGGGGCCCTGTGTGGTATCACAGGTCACACATCCATGAAGAAAGCCCTGGCCCCATCATTTATATTTCAGGTCCCTGGTGATATGCTTTGGAAAAAATAGAAAGAGATTAGAGGTCAAGGGTCAACTTTTTTTTTTTTTTTTTTTTTTTTTGAGACAAGGTATCACCCTGTCTGTCACACAGGCTGGAGGGTGGTGGCACGATCTTGGCTCATTGCAATCTCCACCTTCTAGGTTCCCAAGTGACTCTTCCACCTCAGCCTCCTGAGTAGCTGGGACTAAAGTGTGTGCCACCATACCTAGCTAAGACAGGGTTTCACTATGTTGGCCAGGCTGGTCTCCAACTCCTGACCTCACATGGTAAGGCTGTCTCAGCTTTCCAAAGTGCTGGAATTACAGACGTAAGCCTCCATGCCCGGCCAACAATCTTTTTCTGTACAGGGCCATATAGTAAATATTTTTGGCTTAGCTGGCCATGTGGTGTCTGCTGCAAATGCTCATTGTAAATGTGTATGTTGTAGCACAAAAAACAGCCATGAAAATACTTAACCCAGATGGAGATGGCAGCATTCCAATAAAACTTCATTTACAAAAACAGGTAGGAGGCCAATTTTGACTCATGAGCTGAGTTTGCTGAACTCTGGTATAGATGCTTGTACATAATCTCCAGTTAATGTTCCAATGGCCACTACCCTTTCTCCAAATGACGTCATCTCAGTCTAGTAAGAAATGGCAAGCATTAATTTATACTTCAGTAACCTATGTCTAATGAGGGACAGTAGAACATCGTATTACAATGTCTAATCAGGCAAGAGAGTCTGATTAGGTTCTACCTAAAACTAAGATGCATGAGAAAAATCTTCGGTCAGTGTGTATGTATCACTTTCAGTCAGTTGAAGTGATACCGTATACATTTTACACATATTTAACACATATTGAAGGAATCTCAGTAATTAACACTATTCAATAAGTGGTCGAGACTAATTTGTCTTTCTAGTGAAATCAAGAAATAGGTGCCAGAGTTCAAACCAATGGAAGCTGAAAAAAATAAACAAATTTGTCTCCTTTGCTAGTGAACCAACATAGACTAGGTTTACATTCTGAGTACGTATTATCTTCAGCAAGTGACTTCCTGTATTTTATGCATTTTCATACCGTAGTCTTTGAATGAGAATAATGTCTTATTGATACCTGGAATGAAAAGGACTTGAGGGCTTTTGATTTTTTTTAAATGGACTTTTATGTCAGGAATGTGTTTTGATCCTTTCACATTCAAATTTTGCCTCTCCAGAAACTTGTGCTGGGGTTCAGTCTTGCTACAGCTAGAATTTAAATCGCCCTTGCTTTTAACATGGAATTCTGTCTTCTCTAGTGCCACAGAAGGGCTCTTTTAGTCACTAATTAGCTAACAGAAACTGCATCTGCCATTTCCCTTTTCTTTTTAAAACTGTGAAAGGGGCATGTCTGGACACATATTAAGGGAGAAGGGAAAAAATTAACTTAATGGAAGTGACTTAGGGATACTACATTTAACTGACATTTCTAGGTTACAAAAACTTTCCAAACATTGCTCTATCTCCCCCTTCACTGTGAAACCACCTCCGTTTTTGGCTATTTCATTGAGGTACCACTTCCGGTTTTGGCTCTTTCTGCGTGGCTCAGTTGCAGACCAGCCCACTGACTCTGTCTCCTTCTCTCTACAGGCCGTTTTTACTATCTGATCCACCCCACCAAACTGACCTATGATGAAGCGGTGCAAGCTTGTCTCAATGATGGTGCTCAGATTGCAAAAGTGGGCCAGATGTTTGCTGCCTGGAAACTCCTTGGATATGACCGCTGTGATGCGGGCTGGTTGGCTGATGGCAGTGTCCGCTACCCTATCTCTAGGCCACGAAGGCGCTGCAGTCCTACTGAGGCTGCAGTGCGCTTCGTGGGTTTCCCAGATAAAAAGCATAAGCTGTATGGTGTCTACTGCTTCAGAGCATACAACTGAATGTGCCGCTAGAGCGCGTCAGTTTTAAAGTCATTAAGAACATGTGAAAGGTGGTTTTTTTTTTTCCAATATGAACTCATGAAAGTTACCAAAACTGTGATAACCCTTTTTTACTTACTGTAAAGAGTCATTTTCATAAAGACCAATTCATTGATTTGTTTTTTGTAAAGCTATCATTAAATATATATCATAAATTAATATAAATTTAAGGGAAGCTCTACGTAAGGAGACTTTAGAGTCAAACTGTTTAAGCTGTATCATCCCAACAAAGTATCCTTTCATGAACGGGGCATGCAATAGCTTGAGAATTGCTAGGATTAAATTAAGGAAAGTAAAGCTACTCGGAGCAGCAGCTTCCACAAGCACAAACTTTACACATTTGTACAATTTTGAAATGCACTATAATAAACAAATTAGAGGAACAAATTTGAAATACAGCCTTCTTTACATAAACTGAGTTTATACAAAACTCCGTTTCACAAGGGAGCAATCTATACCTTTCTAAAAGTTAATATTTCAAGTCTCCGATAGACAGAATATTTTACTCTTTAAAATCCTGCCTTTTTCACCAAAAAAGAAAACATTCATATGGACTCCAATGCATAGTAACAAGCACAGTTAAAATTCCTTAATAATCTCATTTATATGACGTATGAGACATAAATAAGCAGATAATATTTAACCAATGAAAGACTTCTGCCTTCCTATAATTAAATTACACATGTCTGAGAAGAATTGTTTTATCTTTTGAGTAGCTTTACTGAGTTGTATTTAAATTCTAAGGGCCATTTGCTAAGCAGCATTTAGCATCTACTCAGGGCAGTTATATAGATAAACTGCTGGACAGAAAAATTGTAAAATTTAGCGGCTTGACTTTCTGTTAGCCTATGAAATGTTATTGTCCTATAAAAATAACTTTAAACTTATTTAATATTTCTTATTTACATTATATGAAAAACAATTACATCATAAAAGAAATGCCTAATTCAGAAACAAAGACCCAACTTTCAAAATTCTTATTATTCTTATTTGTACATACACTAGAAATCCCAACTAGTGCCTATGTTTGGGGGAAAAAAAATCAACAATGCAGTTCTAAACCTTATCCCAAATAGAAAATGTGGTTAATGATGTCACTTTCCTTGCTGGTCATCATTAGGCTTCAATTAAATGCTGAAGCTGTCATCAAAGAGTTTACACTAAAATCTTCAGGGCTTTAAATAAAAGGTTAAGTCCAGCTTCAAAACACAACTATCTACATTAGCAGCTTCAATCTTAAATAAAGCTCTGTTTTCCTATATTTTTATGACTGCTGAGACCCCACAGGGACCAATATTTGTACTCAAATTACGTTTCGTGGTTTCCCATTATTTCACAATGAGTTCTAATAAATGGGATTTACTATAACAATCCAAGTATGACATAGTTGGTATGCTTTCATGAATGTTTTTATGTAGATTTTCCTCCCATGAACATGAGTAAATAAATCTGTTTCCTGAATGGATTGTGGTTGCATTTAAAGCTCTGTAATAATTCTAATAAATTTACTCTATAAATATAGAGTTACGTGTGTGGAAGGTATAGAACAATTGGAAGTCCATGAAACCATAACTATAATCATATATTATTCAGACAAAATATTGTAAATAAAAGTAGATCCTTTCTTTCATCAAAAACAGATCTGAAATTTTCAGATGCTTTACTATTAAAAGATGACAATGTTATGCATGCACATTTTTAAGTTAGGTTGGATATGCAAATTGTAGAAAACTATAAATCCAAAGAGTTCATAAGATTTAAACTCAAACACTCATGGTATAAATAGATTAAAGAAGATACTTAAATGGTCTAGGATGAGGTTATACATTATTTAAAGAGGGGACTATCTCCTAAATAACAACTATTAACACCTCAAATGTGGGGGCTAGCTCATTGGAAGAAGTCCATACTTGAACTATTATTATGTATGTTCCAATAATTTTGTTGGAAATGCAAGTGGGAACAAATTTCTATTGAAGCAAACATCCAATTTTCAGTTATATCCAGAACTCTACCTTTATAATGTTAAATGTAGTGGCATTTCTTAACTTTTAAATACTTACTAGTATAGGAATTGGTGCTGATCAAAATCTCTGCAGTGACTGTTAGCTGATTAAAATCTATATTAATTTACACATCATTTTTTCATTCGTGTAAAAAACAAAAAATCTTAACACAATGAATACTGCTGAGCAGAATTTTTATCTTCTGATTTTGCTCAGAGGATCAGAATTTCCATGCCCTTTAGACTCCTACTTGAATGAGTCTTTTTAATGTTCTCATTTTGCTGTTTTTTCACCAAATGTCTATTTCTGACTTTATTCCTCTAGATGTCTCACTGAGTATGCCTGAAAAAGAAAGATTATTCTAATACAATTCCTAACAAAAAGTTGGTACAACACTAGCTTATTCAGAAATTGCTCCTCAGACTTGGATTCCAAGAGTGTCAAAAAGATTTGGTGGGAGGCTGGGCTAGGAACCCTTGTTTTAATGATTTTGTCCATAATTAACACTGGTGACCATATAAGGAACAAAATATATCTGCACATTTCACTGAGACATCTACATTGGAAACCCCAAACAAAAAGAAAAACCAATTCAAATAAAAAGACAATATAAGAATGAAAATAAGTTGGTCACATTAACACTGGAAGCCATCTTGAAATGACTGCTGCCATATTGTATCACAGTAATTTTTAGCCAAATACGGCATTTGTAAATTTAAACTTTCTCTCATAGAAAGGGGCCGGTACCTGTTAAAGTGTTATTTTATGCGATAATATAGTCACTTATTATTTTGGCAATTAGAAGTAGACTTAAAGGAGATTCCAATTTGGTTGCTGGCAGCCATTCTGGGTTTCTTGATTTTAGTACTCCAAAGAATATGGTGGTCTCATGGAGTAGCTGACCACTAAGGAGGAGAGGATTGAAAGGGACTCACTTATCAGTTTTTAACAATAGAATGCAGTAAGAAAATCAATGGATAACTGCCATCCTTTGGTTAAGAAGTTAACTGTATCATAGCTCACTACTGCCAGAACAGCAACAGGTGTACAATAAAAGAGATGAAAAATACAAAAGTCATTAAGCCACCTGATTAAAAAAGACCAATATTTGAAGACATTTAATAGATACTGAGTATAAATTTGAGGAGAAGAATCAATCTGTATTACCAAAAAACCATGTTTTTGTTTCCTGTAAGATACAATGAACTGGTACATTAAAAGTCAATTTTGTGTTACTGCATTATCTTTTGATTCTTCTGAGATGTAGAATCTTAGCTATTTTTCTTTGTGTCAAACCCTGTAAATATATTATTTCCAAAAAAAAACGCATTTAATTCGTTCTTGTTCTGATATATTTGACTTCAAATTGTAAATACATATGATTTTCATTTCCTAGTACTTTTGCAGTCTGAAAAAAAGATCATATATATGGTGTTGCTAAATCAATTATGGTATTATCCCAAAATATATTGGCTATTTTCTCTTTGTATATGACTCAAAGCATAATTTATTTTTCCAGCCAGTTTAGCAATCCCAGAAATCTATGGTGTTGTTGATTAGATCAACATATTTGAAATGCTTTATGACTTAATCATGGGTGCTGAATTAAAAGAAAACTTTTTTTTTTACATATATATTTAAGTTCTCTTTAGCACTTTACACTCCCAATAACAAAGAATACATTGTGCAATATTTCCATCCCTACTCTAGATTTGCAACATAAAAAATAGTTTCTGAATTTTCTGATATACAGAAAAGAATTCTTGGGTGCAAGGGTCCATTGCTGGTCCAATGACTTGAATGGAAACACACCTAAATGAGTTTGTCATTGACATTCAAACAAAGATGTACCTTAAATTTTTTCCCAGACCTAATTGCAATATATTAATTGCCTTGGAGAAGAAAAAAGTCCAAGGATACTATGAAATTAAATCATTTACTTTTAGTGTTTTAGTTCTTACACAGATGGACGTTATCCTCACTTTGCCAGCAATTTTTGTATATTATAGCCTGGTCATATATAAAACCTGCTTGATACTTATATTGAAGGATCTTACAGAGTTTCATAATGTTTAAATAAAACAAGTAAACTGTTAAGATGTGATGTTCTTACTTTCCTACATAGTGACAAAGCTTAATATTATAATAAGACTGCACTTGAACAAGACTATCGTGAGCAGAGTGGACCCTGTCTATGATGGTAGATACATAAAAGAAGTAATAAAAACAAGATTATTGGGGGAATATGAGGGAGGAAATGAACTAAGAAGAAACTGACACCAGAAGTATAAGAAGAAGATATTTCCTTTTCTATCTCTATTTCTTGGGCCCTCCATTTTTATTTAGAGGCATGTCTTAAGATGGTTCTGTAGTCTTTGCTTCTCAGTAGGTGATATATTCAGGAAGATAATAGCTTCATGCCTCAGCTATTAAAAGATGGCTCTTTAATTTAATTGGTGTCTGACAGCAACCGGAGCTCCATTTATTCAGAAAAGTACCCCCAGGGTGGAGAGAAAGCTCTAATTTTCTATTACTTGACAATGAAGCTATTGGTCTTAACAACAAATGTAAGATTCTTGGATAGAAATAGACTTCTAAGAATATTGTATCCCTTTATTTTTCTTTCAAAGCAAGGGGCCCAGTTGTCAGCTTTTCATCTGTTGAAAATATCTGGGATTTTAATCAATATCAATGAAAATTCTGCCTGCCAAAAATCATATATATGTATAGAGCAGAGAAAGACAAAAAACAAGTGAGTTAGAGATTTTAGAGACTATAAAAGGTCTGTCTTTAAAAATGCTGAGATTCTTGCATGTGAATCTAAAAATGAAACCATTTATTATTCTAATAAATAAACATATTCATTTGTGATAATTGCTTCAAACCCTAGGAAAAGATAAATAATGTTCCTTGTGGTTCTTCCTGTGCTCAGAGTTCTGCCAAATTGAACATCCTTTCTCAATGGGAAGACGCTTGCTCCTGTGATGAGAGCCAAACTTCAAGTGGCTGAGAAGCAAATTCTGCTATTCTAATAGAATGCTTTTGAAAAGTCAAACTTTCAGTTCGGTGTACATGAACATTCAGTAATCTGTTAAAGCAATTGTACTCAGCATATTGGAATTACTTGGGAAGCTACAGAAAAAAGATTATGGTCATATAGATTCAATATCGCATGTCTTGTTCCAAAGGATCTTATTCTGTGAACTATATATATCAGTAGTGTACATTACCATACAATGTAAAAAGATCTACATATAAACAGTGCAAACCAACTATCCAAGTGTTATACCAACTAAAATCCCCAATACACTTTGAACAGTGAAAAAAAAAAAAAGATTATGGTCAAGGGTGTAACATGGACATGAGGATTTTTAACCCCCACGCCCCATTGAGTCTAAAGTACAGCCAGGGGTGATTAAAGTATTTAGGGGCAAGAAACAAAGCCATTCCACAGATATATATTTAGGTTGATATTTATGACTCACAATTTAAAATAATTTAAAAGCTCTATAATTGGTTTAAATTTTATTGAACTTAGAATATTTTTCCAGTATAAATATTTAATTGCTTTGATTTGCTCTCTTTTCTAGTGATAGTTCCCATTACATTAACAAATATATATCTAATAAATTACATGCCTACCCTATTATTGTTACTCCTTTAATAAAACCTATTTTAAACCATTTATATCAAACACTTTGCCATCTAAAGTACTGAAATATAAGGGGTATGACAATAATCATGTAAAATATTTGGGGATAAGAATTTGAACTCCACATTGAAGTCAGTGACTTCTGAGATTTCAATTATATCTCAGAGAAAAAGATTTGGATTCACTGTGAGCTTTGCATTACCAACACAGACCCTCAAACAAAAAACAAAAGCAATGCAATGCTAGCTAGGTAGAAGATTGAGTTAGAGTGTGGAATAAAGAGGAAGGCACAGAGAGAGAGAGAGAAAGAGAGAGAGAGAGAGAGAGAGAGAGAGAGAGTAGAAGGAGGAGGGATGAAAGAGGATTCTGCCCTTGTCCTCAGTAAGGATATATTATTTGATCAAATCAGTTTACCAAATACCAGAGACAACTGTTTACTTCTTAAAACTCTAATAGTATATGTTAACATAGATAATCACTATTGTTTTCCAAAAGCATATTTATTTTATGGCATCATGAAGACATGCATTACTTATTACTTATCAGAAACTTATTCATAATATTAAAGATATTAGGCTGTTTATAATTGGATGAAACAGTTCAATAGAGTGGTTCCAAGCATAGACACTAGAGTATCATAGTTCAAATCTAGCCAGGCCACCTACCTTTTCTGAGTCAATCATTTAACATTTCTTGGCCTTGATTTCTCCATCTAAAAGTAGCCATATTAATATTAATGATATCATTAATGCTTGCCTAATGCTGTTATAAAATTTGAATGAGTTAATATATTATGGTAATAGCTAACTCAGTATCACATATGTGCTAAGTATTTTATGTAAACAATTTGTTTACTCCACTTAATACCCTGTAAGACAGATATTATTGCTTTAGTTTTCAAAATGAAGAAATGAAGACTCAGTCAGGATAAATGATTTGCCTAAGCTCACACGACTTCCTTTAATAGCAAAGTGAACACTTAAGTCAGTCAGAAGCTTCAGGGAATTGCCTTCTTAACCGATGCACCATCCTTAACCTCATGGAATACCATGGAATTGTTCCTGGCACATCATAGGCACTTTGCAAATATTAGCTAAATATTAGCTGTTATTATGTTGTAATCTATATATAGATTTACAAGTAGCTTCTCAGTTTTCTCACCTTACCAAAGAGGATCAAAATAAACCATAAGGTTATTTTGTAATAATTAAATAAGATTATTTAAAGATATAAAACATTATTATTTATTACATGCTACCTCAAAACGTTTTTTTTTTTTTTACTATTTAAAAATTTAATATATAAGATTTAAATTTTTGTTTGCATATATCTTTGGTCAATAAACCAAATTGTAAGTTTTTAAAAGCATAGACTATATAATGTTATTTTAATAATCCTTCAACCTCACTTCAAGGGCTAGCATAGCTCTATCAATGTAGTTTGAAAATTAGTATTTTCTTGAGCCTCAGTGGCTCAGGTCAATTGTCCTGGTTCTTGAGAAGGCGAGGGAGCTTTCAAGGCCAGCCTGGAGAATGTAGAGATCCCTCATGCATTGAAAAATATAATAGTAGTAAATAAATAATAAAATTTAAAAATTTTTTAAAAGAAAATTAGTCTTTTCTTATAACTGGATACATGCTTATTTTAAAAATTGAAAAATTCAGATAAGCACAAAAAGAAAATTAAAATTACTTATAGTTCATAATCCAAATACCCAGGGGGGAAGAAGACACAAATTTTGTTTACAATATATTTGCCATTATATATTTGAATAAATCATAGTTTTTAATCAAAATTAGACCATCATACCTAGAGTTTTAGGAATATCACTTACAGTTTTCTTAAAGACATAGTTTTATACATTTTATATTTTCCAGGATTGATTAATTAACATAGCGAATGTTTAATTAAACTGACCTGTGGGTATGGTATAAGTTACTGGAGTCTGCTATAACTCACACTGATACAGGAGGGAGATACGAACAGAAAATTTGATAATAAACTTTCTTAAATGTTGGATGATCCCACTAAGGAGAGATAGCCTAACTCCTTCAGTCATGCTCTGGCTTTTTTAATTCTGTGGCTCTCCCAGAGAACACAGAGGCACAGGTTAAGGTCCAGCATTGGTACCAGGGGACTACGGCCTGCCCCTCCTACCCTAGTTTTAGAGTAAGCAAAGTCATGTAGCGCCGGGCACGGTGGCTCAAGCCTGTAATCCCAGCACTTTGGGAGGCCAAGGTGGGTGGATCACGAGGTCAAGAGATCGAGACCATCCTGGTCAACAAGGTGAAACCCCGTCTCTACTAAAAATACAAAAAATTAGCTGGGCATGGTTGTGCGTGCCTGCAATCCCAGCTACTCAGGAGGCTGAGGCAGGAGAATTGCCTGAACCCAGGAGGCGGACGTTGCGGTGAGCCGAGATCGCGCCGTTGCACTCCAGCCTGGGTAACAAGAGCGAAACTCTATCTCAAAAAAAAAAAAAAAAAAAAGAAAAAAGAAAAGTCATATAGCCAAAGACACAGAGGTTTCCGGCAAGCATACTCCTGTGCAAAAGAAATAGAGCTTTATTTTGTAACTTCTCCACTGGGAAGATTAATTCTAAAGAAAAGGATAATAAGCAAGTATCTTACCAAATTAAAAAGGATAAATATTAGTTAGGAAAGTGCACTAATAATATAACAACAGTTAGTTGTCACCAAAATGATAAAGAAATCTGATGAAACATGACAAATTCATTGAGAGCTGACTTCATTCTAAGGGTCAGAGAAGAAATTTCAGACATTAGGGTTTTGATGTTTTGGTAGGGAGGGCACTGTTCAGGATGTACTTTGGAAACTTGAAAACTCTTGGGCAGGTAAGTGGCCTAACAGTGCCTAGAGACTGTAGCCTAATGCTGTAGAAAGTCCACTGAGAAAAGCTTCCTCTATGACAGCTGGTTTACAGAAATGCCTACATCGTTTTACTGTAAGGGCGGAAAGGT